AATTTCCACAGTAGGCATTTTTTAAATTTCACCTTGGGGCGGAGTTATCCCCTCATTGGGGGGGGGGAGAATACACTTTTAATTTGTCTGACAAAGCAGCAGCTCTCATTTACAGCCGTCTCATTCAGCTCGGTACTTCTCTCCTCTCAGTAGGGTTGTTTACAGCACACGTGATTTCCGGTTATCTTCTTAGCTTAGCCTCCTTCACAGCGGAACTGGCACACATTTGTCATGGCCAACAGATCCAATCATTTTAAACTTCAGCAGAGGCCACACCTCCAGCAAGAATCGCTTCTCTATAGCCGAGAGTCCAGACCCTCGTATGAAGCAAAGTGGACAAGGGGCTGCTTTTAACCAGGCTATGAAATTGCAGCTCTCTGTTGATGACTACCAGCATGTCCAAACGACTTCATGATCAGAGCAACAGACTTCACCAACACCACTAAACATTTTTTTGGTGGAAATGGTCTTAATAAAAACTGGATACCACATAGCAGTAGCATTTGTGACCCCCTCATACTGTACATTCAAAGTATCAATGCACCAGAACTCAGAAGTCACCTGAACAGATCTATTGTTTTGGATGGGGGTCCATAGGTAGTGGGGTAAATATGTATATATTACAGTGTTGGTCTTACTATACCTGTATGATGAGCCCAGGTGCCATAGATGTCAGATCTTCTTGTAGTGTCAACTTTAGGTTTTCATCTATTTGGTCTGTTTGGAGGAAGAGGGGAATAGCTGAGTTATTTTTGCTCAATTTACACATAATTTTAAAGAGTTTAAATAAAGTCACAAAGTCAAGTTATGAGTATGAGAAAACACTTAAGTGATATTTGTGTTACATTTTAACTGCCCACTGGCTGTATTTAAAGCAGAATCTAAATAAATTTAGAGTCAAAAAGAAAAAAAAATTGTATAGGTCTTCTGGACGGGTTCTGCTCTCATGAAACGTTTCGTCTCTCCTCCAAGAGACTTCTTCAGTCTGAGAGTTTCAGGCAAAATTCAGACTTTCAAGCACTGCCTCCATGTGACTGATACTCACATCACATGCCTATCGTTGACACCTAATTAACACTTAAATTTAGAGTCTTTAATCAGTCAGTCTCAGATGAAGTTTAAATTTCGTCAGGTAAACAGACAGACATAAAT